TCAGGGACTATTAGAAACACTTTTGTATAATGTCTAAGCTTATAAACTCAACCAGAAGGGAGAGAGATAGCAAATTGTCCTGGCCATCAAAGCACCAAAGAGATTCTGGCTTTTTAAAGTTCTTGGTTTATCTCTATCATCAAACACATCCCACATTCCTGGTTGCCTCACAGATGAGAAGTTTGCAGTTTCCCTGGGCAATAAAAACAACTTGATGGAAACTGAGTCTTGCTTCTTTACATAGAACAGAAAGAAAAGAGAATAGGAAAATTGCAACAGTACAGAGAACAAAGTGTCAAATTTAATCTTACACTCATTAGTTGCAAATCTTATTAGTTGCAAAGAGAATCCCCTTGTAGCTCCCTGGGACCTGACTATTTTGTATCTTTTAGCTTGTTATCAAAACAGCAAATGGATTTATAACTCGTAACTGAATGAAGTACTTTTTAGTCCAAGTGTTTCATAGTTGCTCTTAAAGATGGCTTCCATCTTAAGGGATATTCAGCTTTTTCTTCAGTGGTTTCCCATAGTTCCTGTGTGGAAGGGAGATTGTGATATAAGAAAAGGCCTCTGGCTGCTATTTTGCTCAGCTCCATTGTAGCTGAGATGGCCTGGGCCCCAGACTACTGTGCAGTCTAGGTCCAGGCAGGTGCACCCACCTTTCTTACTGTCTGAGACTGGCCCCACGTTCCTAAGAGAGACCAACCCTACAGTTTACCCTGATAAACTGCCTGATGTCCGCTGCAATCTTTGAGGTGCTGTTGTCCCTCTAGACTCTAGATGAAGACTCACATAAAAGCCATGACCAGAAATCCCCTTCCCTGACCCCCATTCTAGTTCCAAATTGGCCCAAGCCAAAGAAAAACCTTTGCTGACGACAGGTATGTAGATTCCTAAGAAAGGAAAATAAGTAAAGCTAAAGAAAATGATCCAGAAGGAGAAACATAATCCAAAACATGCCAAGAGGGAGCTGAGTGCTCCCCTGTGGAAGGCTTGCTGCATCTGGACTGCCTGCCTTGGTGAAGCCCTCAGCCACTGTGTCTTTAGTGCCAGCAATGCTTGGTCTAGGTCAGCGCTCTCGGGGGGAGGCAGATCTCCTCTTCAAGCTTTGAGAGCATAAGCACCCAGCAGACGTGTTCTCCTGTGGACTTGAGTGGTTTTATGGGCCTGTGGGCATCAGGGTTGCCGCTGTCCCTTTCTAGCGCAGAGATGAGAGAGCAGCAGAAGAGGCTTGCACCAGTCTTGACAAGGCCAAGTTTCTAGTCCCTGCCACTTTTCTGATATTCACATTAGACCAAAGAGAGGGGCAAATCTCCCGAGGCACCTTTGTGATCGATTTTTCTGGGTTCCCCCAGGGCACACACTGGAGCAGAAGTCATTCTGTAACTAGACACACAGAAGTATGTCCTCACCCCCAAAGCGCAGCCAAGACCCAGACTGCAGTGGATGCCTGCAGTCTAAGTGCTAACGCCCTGAGCATGAGCATTTTCAAAGGAGGTCAAGGTGTTCTTTCCAGAATGTAACACCTGTTTTAATCTAGACAAATGGCTAATGAACTTTTTCTGGAAAGGGCCAGATAGTGCATATCTTCAGCTTTCTGGGCCAAGATACTGTGTAGGTATTTATAACAAGAAAACAAATTTTTGCAAAATTTTTAGTGACTGAATTCAAAATATATTTTAGTGCAATTTTTGTAAGGAAGGTCTAATGAGGAGAATGGATTTCTTTTTTTGGTTGGGGCCAAGATTTCGCTTATTGGGGTTCAAAGTTAGTGTTCCTTATCAAAATCTATTATAAATGTTCATCTCTTGTGTTGATCTGCAATGAGACTTTATGTATTTTATCTTTTGAAATGCAAATATTGATACCAGTCCACAAGTATATGATTTTAACTGAGCACATTCATCACTGGAAAGGCACTCGTGGGATCCTGTCAGTCTTGTCTTGATACTTGCCTTTCAGTGTGTTATGTTGCTGACTAATATCTTCCTATTGAAGATTAGGTTGCAACTTCTCGATTATACAGTTAAATGGATTTTGGAATATGGAAATCCAGGTTCACAAACCCCTGATGCAGCTGAGTAGTTTGAGCTTAGACATTATATCCACTGCAAATTTATGTGAGAATGGAGATTTCACTTTTTCTTCTAATTTTAACAGCACAGAAACTGCGTTTTGGAATATGGAAATCCAGGTTCACAAACCCCTGATGCAGCTGAGTAGTTTGAGCTTAGAAATTATATTCACTGCAAATTTATGTGAGAATGGAGATTTCACTTTTTCTTCTAATTTTAACAGCACAGAAACTGCGTAAAGCAGTTTTGACATGACTTGTGATTCCAACAGTGTTATTGGTCATTGAAGTGACTCTATCACAGAATATGTTTTACACATAGCTGCTGTTTTGCCTTGTAATTTTAGGTTGAATTTATTAAAGTACATTATCAAGTCTACAGCAAATTCTACTTCCCAGAGCTCTTTAGAACGCTGTAATCATGTTCGAGGGCCGTTCTTGTTTAGAAGTTTCATTCTCAGCTGTGAGGTCGAAATAATGCAATAAAACTGTAGTAAGCCATCAAACTGCTGTGTGGTAGGACAAATCAGAATATTCAGCTTATCCCTGACAAAAATGTACAGAACTGATGTTAATTTCATGAGAGGGATTGTTACATTCACTGCTGACACTAGTGATTCAATCACGTGCAGTAGTTTTTCTGCAAGACACCCGCTGATACCAGGAATAGCTGGTATTTGCACAAGCTTTGCAAATTCATAATTTGTCCGTTTTTCTGTTTCATACATTTTTACCACCATCAATTGTAACATCTTATTCCATTTCGGGTTAGTGCTTTCTCAACTTTGAAAATATTCTCACCTACGCTTGTTCCACACAGACTGTTTAACAAGCCTAATTCTGTGGTTGCATCACCCCTGACGTTGACTCCTTGAATAAACACCAACTGAGTGGTGTCAGTAACATCCATGGGTCCACCACGAGCCAGGGAAGACTGCTCCATCATTTGCCTTGTTTCTTAATCGAGTGTCGATGCTGCTCCATGTGTCCTTACTCCTCAAGCAACTGTTCTCACCAAAAGTCTGATGGTCTCAAACAAGTTTACACTCTCTGGATATGCTTCTTTGGCTGCTGCAATTAATGAACTCACCACTGATATACAGCTTTCCTTCACAAACAAATGAACCACTT